TTAGTAATAAACAGAAAGAGAAAAAGGAGAAATGTAACTTTCATTTTCTTGATGCGAAGTGAACGTTTAGATGTATTACACTAGTCCTTCACACAACAAAAAGTGTTTTCGATAAGTACACATGGATGCGTAGTTTGTCAAAGTATATGAGTTTTTTTTTCAAACGAACCATAATCTAATAATTAAGTGGAAATGTACATTTGATAATTGAACAAAGGAAATAAGGGTATTGAAAAAAAATTATTTTTTTCATATAGGTGATCGGTTGCTGAAACAAGACATTTTTAACCGGCAAACTGCAGTTTTTTATGTGTACTAATTGTTTGCATAATTAAAATATGAAACTTCGTCGTTTTCTCTTCGTTCATTCATAAAAAGTGTTGCTCCATCAGGTCGATGTTGTCAGCAACCAGCTCGTTTTCGTCATCGCAACTTGCATGTGATCAGAGTTGGTCATTTACCTTTCGGTATATTTGTAAAAAGCAATTGACTGCAGTGACCTACGAGGCACGCCATCTTTGTTTTCTTTAGACATTACACATTTTTCTTGTTCACTACATCTAGTAGTGCGTATACACAAGAGTACTGTGGAGACTTCATTTCAAGAAAAAAGTTATCGCTTCTTGGCCTTTCCAGCTAAGATCAAAATGTAGTATCTGTTGTCGTCGATTTGAAGGCCGACGCTAGTTCCAGGGGGGCCAGGCTCTTTCAAGCGGATTTTTGGACATCGGCTGGGATCACCGGAGTTCAGTCCACTCTCGTTTCCTTCGAAAAATGAGAACTCATCTATGATAAAAAAATTGATAAAAAACTGTCCCTTATCTATTAGCACACTATATAAGGTAAAGATTGTTGTTTACGAGAAAACAACAATTTTCCACAGTTATGATCACACGCGGTTATTCTACTGATGCTATTTTGTTGTCTTAGGTACGACGAATAATCCAAAAGAAATACGTTCTTCATGTACATATGTATTGATGATTTAAAGGTAGTAAGAAGGAAAATCAAAACTCATTTATATTCGTTTAGTAGTTATCAATTCTAACGCTTTGCAACCTTTTAGGCTATGATCAAAGTTTAGTATCTGTTCTCGTCGGTTTGAAAGCCGGCGCTGGCTAAAACAACAGTCAGTCTCTTTCGAACGGATTTTTGACACATGATCGGCATCACTTAAGAATAGTGAAACTATGCCACGGATCGATTCAACACTGCAATGTTGTCGAGCTTGGCCCCCTTGTGTTTTCTTCAGGAAATGGAAATCATTATATCATTCAAAATATAAAATGAAAATTTTTTTTTTTCATTTGAAACTAAAACTCATATTAACAAGAATGCATAATTTTAGATTTGTGAATAAAAAGAAATGTGAACAACAAGTATGTGTAACTATTGATTTGTTAGAAATATTTGTGTTTCGATATGAACAAAGTCTACAGGTTAATTTTAAGCAGAGTCCTATGTTCTAAGTCAATAATCAACAGAATCGAAAAAAGAGACAACTTTTTTTTCTTTGAAAGTTGAATAGGATTCTAGTTCGAACTACTTGGTTTTTTTTCCAACCCACCTGCATCACATAAATGGACGTGCACTTCTTTTGTTCACATTCTATATTCTTTGAGTTTTTATTACGTTTTCATTTGCATGACACTAGATGAAAATAAATACGTTGATAGAATGACACTGAATAAACAAACATAGAAAATATTCGAACAACATATATTAAAATATTGTGAGAAATAAAATCGACATGAAACACAATTAAACAACTGAGAATGAAAATTTTAATAGTTATTCACAAGCTTTTGTAATGATATATCTGTTCAGTGCTAGGTAGCAATCGTACAAGAAATATTTATTGTATCATCAATCAGTTGTTTTTGCATGTGCAGATTTGTTGATGTTATAAGAGTATCTGTAAAGATTAGAGGATGGTTTCTGTATCATTGCTCTAATCATGAAAACTTTTGTCATACTTTTAGAATTCCTCATTTCAAATAAATAACTTCATTTAATAAATACATTAGAGATTTTAAGCAAAAAAAATTCTCTTGTCATTTGACGATGAATTAAATTATTTGATGGCTGTTTTATTAGTTCCTGTGATGCAATCCTATATACTTTTATTCATTGAAAAATAAATAATATTCATTCAATGTAGTTGAATTACTTTCATCATTATCTATAATAGTCTTTATTTTTCTGAATGATCCATGTTAAAAATTTCAGCCATGTTTTTTCTAAGGTTAATCTACCATGAGACCCATCTACTTTTATGCTTTGTCGACAGATATAGCATGCTTCGGAAATGAATGAAATACCTTCATCAAAGAAAAAACCAAAGTGTAGAAACCATTAGTGAATATTTTTTCAAACATCCAAATATTTCTCTGATTAACAGGTATCAATTGTCGTGATATCGAAGTGCCCATGCATATTCAATGTATTGTCACAACTTCCATTAGCGAATTTGCTGTCGGTGTGTCATTGGTTCAAACTGTGTTACCTTTCGACAAAGTCACAACACATACAGTTTGATAAAACAATGTGAGAATTAAAACCACTCGAGTTATAACTATCAACCATTTTAACTCGATTACCTTTATGATCGATTATAAGTTTTGAAATTTGAGCAGCTGAGAATAGTATTTAAAAAATTGAAATAACTGTATTCTACTTGTTTTTCTTTAAAATGGTAATTATCTTTAATATACATATGTTGTGAAGAAATTTAGATAACACTCCCTTCAAGAATAATCATACGTATTTTATTTAAACATGGAATAACTACATATGAAGTTATTCTTTATATGTCTGTCATTACTTTTATCAGTACGTGGATTCTTCTGATGTTTTCGTTATTTCTTGTTATATTATATCGACAAACATGCGAAGAGAAGATGCAATCATTGTTTACTTACAAGTTAGAGATAAACAGAAAAATGCTTTCTGTATTATTCAGAAGGATAAAGTGGAACGGTGACTCGTTGATGCCTCCTGTGACTGTACATTATTTAGGGCATGGATATGACTAATAGTTTTAATTTGATCTTAGCTGATGTAAATATTTGCTGGTTAATTTCGATTATAATCTAAATTAATGAGAAAAGCGAACGAAATTTTGTTTTTTTTTCGGTTTATTTTGCCTATAATCAATTAAGAAATGATTATAATGCTGAAAGTCTTATTGGCAGCGACTGTAATCAAATTATTTTTAAGTAAGATTCAAGACTACAAACTATGGCCGAAAATTATAACTAGAGTTAAAAATTGTGACTATTACAACATTCGAACAAATTAGACATAATTTTTATTTAAAACTAAGTACGCTTGATAAACGTATATTCAATAAAATGATTGTATTTTGTCTGCTTTGTTGATACACCTAAACAGAGAAGAAACTACACAGAGACTAATCTATAAATACTAAGTTTTTAAAAGCAAACAACAATGAAATATCTAGAACTTAATTTATTCTTTTATAAAACATGTCAATTAAATCGAAATATTTACAATATCAACCTAAATAAATTTACTGAAAAATTCAAAACGATAATTATAAGTACACATGATCATTATGACTTGGATTGGGAATTAAAACTGTTGTTGACACTTATAATCTGAATTATTACGATCTTAACTTTTGTCTATTTTCCTCAACTGTCAACTTTTTCAAAAAACAGTTTTAACTCTCTCATTGTCAACCACAGAGAATTGAATAGTATTTTTTTTAATTATATACTACATAGACCATACCGAATTTTTACAAGCATGTCGTGGACAAAAACCAAAACGCACTTCACGTAAATATAGTGTAACAATTATTAATCTTTCTATTACAGTAGGATGTTGCTCTGGCAGGCTAGTGTTGTCACCAGCCCGCACATTTTTCGTCATCGCAACATGTATATATTTGATCCGAGTTGATCATTTACCTCTTGGTAAGTTGTAATAAACAACTTCTCTTGTCAATGTATAAACCACGACATCTGTCTTGTCTTTACACATACTGTGTGAGAACGAACGATTGTAAAAAAAATGGAATGTGTAAGAATAAGACTAATGTCGTGCTCTACATGCCAACAAGAAAAATTTGCTTATTATAAATTACCAAGAGGTAAATGGTCAACTTTGATCACATACATGATGCGATGACGAAAACGTGCAGGATGGTGGTAACATTAGTCTGCCAGAGCATCATTTTAGAATTATTGTAAACGGTTAAACTTAACTTATCCGATACTTTAGTGTGATATGTACTTCGTTCAGATTTCTCTAGAGGAATTTAGTTTCATCTAACAAATACAGAAGTGATCGATGTATTGTTTACAGACAGTGAAATTTGTTTTTCAGTCACACATGTTTATGATTGAACTTCTTTTTTTTGCTTTGAAATTTTTTTCAATTTTTGTTTTTAGAGAACTATCGTGATGTTTGGTACAAACAACAAAAATGATGCAACAGATAACTGAGATTTTTTTTACTGTATGAATGTACAGTAGAGAAACTATTTTTGATATTTTTCAAACAGTTGGTGTTGTAGTTTGTTAGATGGATTAGCAGCAGGTTGCTGAAGAGAAGTCGTCGATGGTACAATTTGTTTTGTAGATTTTTCTTGTTTATGTTCATTTGAATCTCTGTGTGGTAGAATTGTTCGAAGTAATTTTTGTTCATCTTCTTTAGTTGAAAATAATAGATTATCTTCTTCGTTCGGTAATCGTGTTATGACTTTGTATGAATAATCTTGATTGAAAAGAAAGCATTGTCGTTTAGCTGAATAATATATTTCAAGAGTATCTTGAGAAACAAGTGAATAAAAAAACGGTATTATATTCTTCAAGATTAGAATTTTTTTCTGATCGTAAAATACGACCAAGTCGTTGTGCTTGTTAATCCTCTATGACTTGAAATTTGTATTAGTACATTAACATCAGGTAAATCAAATGATGTATCCGGAACTTTTAAAACAAAATTGTTTTATTTGTGAATCATGTTGAAAATCATGCAAAATGTGCATAAGTACATGAAATTAAGCGTCGATGTTGATTATTTTTAATTAATACATATTCTTGAAAAACTTTCGATGTCACTCGACAACATACTTCACTACATTGAACTTTAGTAATATGACTTAAATTTTGTAATTCCGTCTGATTAGCTTCATATAATTTAAATCCAATTAAACAATTTATATCAGCTATTCTATCATTCTCTCTAACTAATTTTGCTGTAAGACGTAATTTTGTATGAACTTCATCAAGAAGCATTACACTCCATTCACCATCTTTGAGTTATTTTATCATTAGATTGTTCAATAGGTGCAATTATTCGATAAGCGCTAATACATATACATGAATCGTTTAATTTATCTTCATCACTCGACGTAAATAATTGTACATTTGAGTTACAAAATATTAAACTTTTATTTATTTTAGAAGCAGCTGTAACACCAACTAAAGATTTTCCAGCACCACATGAAAGAACAATTAATCTAGATCGTACATGTTCATTACCAAATATATTTAAATTTTTCAATATCGTCTCTTGATGAAAATTATATTCGTCAAGTGATGGATATTCTAATTCTTGAATTCTTTTTTTGTAAAATTTCAATTTTATTTGGTATATCATCAATAGTACTTTCAATAAAATATTGATTATGTTTTAAAGTTGTTGTACGATTTCAATGATATAGTTTGTTTGTAAAACCAATAGATACAGCAGCATAGAGTCAATAAGCTGATAATTTATATTCTTGTATTTATTCTGGTTGACTAACGGGTTCAGCTATTGATATTAAAAATCATCAGCTTGTTTATAAACAGATGAAAATGATTCAAGAAAAATATGACCATCTACTGTAACCCCCAATGGGCGTTTTTAATCATCAGCTATTAATTTCATATCTGAAGGAAAATCTTTCAAAGCTTGGCTAGTTTTTTTCTTTGTTGTATATGACCAGTCGAAATCATCATTAACTGAATCATCTAAGCATCAAGATACAGCGAATGGAACAAATGTTCCTGTGTCTCCTTCAATAACATCATTGTTTCTGTTACGACGCTTACTTTTTAATAAATTCAATATCCTTTCACATGGTTCTTTCAATGAAACACGTTTACTCATCTTTCATACCGATATGCATCTATATTCTAAAGACACGTAATAGTTAATGCGACTTTTGCTTCTTAAATTTCGTGGTGAGCTTCAGCTAAAAGACTTTTTGTTTACAGTATGTGGGGCACGACATCTATGATGTCTTTACACATTGCCAACAATCAAATGCAACAACAGAACTGCAAAATGTAAAGACAAATTAGGTATTTCGATTTGTACACCTTGTCAAAAAGTTGATTTTTACAACTTACCAAGCGGTAAATGATTAATTCTGATCAAGTACATGTTGCAATGACTAAATTGTGCGGGTTGGTGGCAACACTGGTCTGCCAGAGCAACATCGTTTATTAAAAGTAAAATAAAAATGATTCAATTTGTTTGTGCATTATTTTGCTTACTTTATAGTATTATTGTAGGAAAGTAAGTTGTCGTGAATATTGATGTTGCTGTATTGAAAAAGGATTACATTGCATCAGATTTGGAAAAGAAACATCGTTCAACATCTGTGATGAGTGACATCGAGTAAGTGTCAAGAGATTTGTAGTGTTCGTATATGTTGGGAAATACATGTGTTATCCTCAAAAATTATTTTGTACTACTATTTTCTAAATGAAGAATCATGTTGAGAGAGGCTGATTGTTAAAATATCTTTTTTACTTTTGACTTCTCTAATGATTTGATGGTAGCGTAATTGTATCGTAGAAAATAAACATCATAAAACTACGAGTACATGGCTAAATTCGATAATAAATATATGAATATTGACGATGTGAATGGTTTAATTCAACGGTAATGGAGAATATTATATGGGACATTTGAAAATTTTCTAGTACTTATTAATTTTTTAGACTAAGATCAGCTTTCAGTAGATATTTGTTTTTATCGGTTTGAAAGGTGGTGCTTGCTCGATGTAGACTACACTATTTCCTAACGGATTTTTGAAGATCGCATGAAATCATTCGAGTATACTTGGACATGTGCGACGGACCATCTTGACACTGTAAAACTATCGACATTGTGATCCACTTGTCTTTCTTTGTGGAAAATGGAATCGATTTATGAGATTAAACTAATATGGAATTCGCTTCAATTAAAATGTCAAGTAACGTGTTTCGTACTCAATCAGAAAACAGCATCGTATTTGTTGATAGCATACAAACCAAAATCGTTAATGTGACAACATTGACAATGACGTCTAGTATTAGCATTGTGACAAGCACGAATGAGAGAGGAAGAATAGCGCATATATCAAGTGGAATGTTTCTTTATTTGTGTTGATGATTGAAACGAGCATTTGATGACATCAATTGAACAGATTGCCATGATTTACGAAGTTCAATCGGCCGTAAATGGTGTCGCATAATCGAAAGAACATATTTACTTAAATATAAATATAAAATTATAAAATTTGTCCTTGTTCTTTATATACACGCATTTTAATAATAAAAATGGAAACTTCTAAAAGGAGATCTTGTGCTGAAACTCAAGAATCGAATTCAATACGAACATCTATCACTTTAACTAGACGATTATCATTTCAAGAAACGGTATGTAAACGAATCGATGATAATATTGTATCAATGTAAAACACATAGAATGAAAATTTTTCTTATGCATACAATTAAGATCAAAGAAACAATTGTGTATGTGATTTGTTTTTTTTAGAAATCTTTACTCACATCACATCACATCACATCACATTATACTTATATTTATTTTTATGATGATGTTTTTTAACATTTCACGTAGGTTCGTCGAACACAACGAATGATGCATGTTCTTAGAACAATGAATGCTTTGAATGAAAATAGAAGAATCACTTATTTTGGATCTAACATAAGTAAAAGTAATTACATCATATCAAAGACGTGGTGCTATGACATTAGAAAAGGTAGATAGAAGAAATTTTTTATTCTAATTGATTTTAATTAATCCTACTTACAAATACGGTTGCAGTCTTTCCGGTTTTCTTTTAAGAAACAAAGAAAAGAAAAAAGGTCAGAAAAGAATCAGCAAGGGAGAAGAAATTAAGAACCTTTAATACATAGTGTGTTGAAAAGAAAAGTGCTGTTTATTAAATCCTTTGATAGACGAAGAAGACGACAATAACAACAACAGTGTCAATGAGACGATTAACAAGATTTTCTTCATTTCCTTCAGCTGAAAATTGATTGAAAAGTTTCTCTTGCGATTTATTTTTATTTTATCTAGACAAAATCAGCAAAACAATTGTGATACATCTAGTATTTCGCCTGTATTAGACCAACAAGAAAATACAAATGAAGCAATAGCAAGTTCACGTCGACTTGTTCAACGATTTATTCTTCCTCATTATTCACCATTTAAAGCCATGCATGATTTATACTACTTGTTTCATATACAGGTATTATGACACCTCATACAATATCATTTCTATCTGATGAGGATTAAAAACAAACAAATTAAAATACACACATGGAGTAACACGACAATTTAATCGAGAATGAACAAATATTCCCTATTGTAGTTATTATTGATTTACTTGTCGATTTTATGTTTATATTTGATATATTAATTACGTAGTTTTTGGCAATTTTATTTTTTATTTTTTCTAATGAATATTATTCAATGAATGTATGATATATATTCATTTTAGAACGACATTTGTTTTAAAATAAACACATGAAGTAATAATAAATCCTATATTAATTGCTAAACACTTTCTTATTGATTAATGGAGACGTTTTGGAGCTGATATACTCGGTGTATTACCATGGAATATTCTATTTTTTGGCAATGGAAGTCATTCGGTAATTTGATATTTTCTTTGGAAAGAAAAAGAAAGTCCTCATATATGTATTTTGTTTTTCTTCTATTTCAAAACAAAAAAAAAATAGACGATGCGTCTAGCAAATTGTTTTAAATTAGATCGACTTTAACGACTTGTTACATTTGTTCGAAATTTTCAAAAAACTAAATATCGATCAGCAGTTTTATTTCTTCTTATGCTTCTATTTGCTATTGCTGCACATTGGTTTGCTTGTATATTCCATTTTATTGCAATTCTTGAACGATCTAATCTACAAGTCAAATATTCATGGCTTGATCATCTGGCTGATAAATATAAAATGCCTTATTGTATGTTAATTATAACCAAGGTCACAGTCAAAATATCTACATTCTTTTATATATGAACGAAAACAAGTTTTTGTTTATAATGAATAATTAACTACGTGCCTAGATTTGTTTTTGAAAAATAATCATAATTTTTTTAATGTTCTTTTTTATACTTGCCAATGATACATTAAGTGGACTAAATATCTCTTTTTGGGAAGAATACAAATGATGAAAAATTGTTTTCTATCCTGTCAAAGCTTTTTTAAGTGCTTCTATTTTGGGAAGTGTAACAACAATTATTATTAAATTATATCAAGGTGCAGAAGAATTAAAAGAAATGAAACAAAGTATTAATAATTTCATAAAACATCATCATATTAGTAAACAACTTGTTGAACAAATACAAGAATCATTTGATCATGAAAGGAAAAATACAAAAGGAATTGATATGAGTAGTATATTGAAGATTTTGTTTGTTGTCTTTCAAATAAAATTCATCGTGATGATTTATTACATGTTTTTCAACTTTATCCTGATTTGCAGAACGATTTCAAGTTACATTTAATCTTCGACAGGTAAAAAAACGAAGGAAAAAACAAGAATTTCTTTTCTTTCGATAATAAACATTTATTTATCATTTTTTATGTGAATTAAATGAATCAAAATCGTTTAATAAATTACATGATGAAATTCAAACACTTATTCGACAGTGTCGTCCAAAATTACAATCAGATTGACAATTGAGTTTATTATGTCAACATGAAGAAGGTTAATTATGCAAAAACAAAACATTATTGGATACATCATGTTTTCTAGTTGAATTTATCTAAAAGCCAATAGATCTGCTGCATTACGTTCATATTGTGGTGTTCGCATGAGTGTGAATTGTGATAGACGACGACCTATAACTACTATTGTTGAATTATCACCTGATCAAGGAAATACGTCTTCTGAAGATTTGCACTTTAGTCAAGAAACACCAACAATGTCATTAACACTTTTAGCTCAGGGTACAAAATTTATTTGTTTATTTTGTTTTTGACAATGAGATTTGTTTTATTTATTTAGGAACGTTGACAAATATATTTTCAACAATTGTTGCCATGTCAAAAGGGCTAAAACTAATGTAGTAACTTTTCAAGAAGAAGAAAAATTACCACTAACAACTGAAACAAGCTTTGTAACAGAAAAAAAAAAACAAAGTATAAAGTTTTGAAAAATATTTTTTTTTTTTGTTAAATATAAAGGAATTTTTCCTTAATGATCAATCTGAAAATATGAAACAGGCTCAATACGAGGTATGACAGATGTTGATGCAGAATTATCTCTTCTTCAAAGGTAGAATATAAATGAAGTATTTTTATCAGTTTATAATAATTCATTTCATCTTTTTGTTTTAGACGTTTTTGATTGTCTTGAACGAATAATGGATGATCATGTGAAATGATTATTCGATTTTGCCAATAATGTTTCAGTAACAAATAATAATCATCAATCTAAAGTAGTAATTTGTATCAAACGAATGATACAATAGATGATACTTTTTTCTTTTTGTAATGGATAAAATAGCTATGAAATCATTTTATTAAGTGGTTTCAAGTATAATTGTACTCTCATCGAACAGTTCAATGTATTGATAAAGAGTACAATAACGAAAAAAAACTTAGTCATGTTCGCAAAGAATAAACACTAAAATAGGCAGAAAATTATTTTACATTACAATTTCATTGTTTAATCAGTCAGAAATTTAATAAAATCGTCGTGTCATTCACATCGTCAAAGTTGATATGACTGCTACATATGATAACAATTATTTTGTCTATTTTTATACTCTTCTAGGGTTTTTCATTGACAGTCAAATCGAATCAATAGTGTCTATAGTAAAAGCGGTGGAAAGAAGATTTATTAAAGAGGAACTTTCAGAAAATTTCTGTTATTTTTNTTTCGTTATCGCAACCTGTATTTGATCGGAATTGATCATTTACCTGTGGGTAAATTGTATTAAGCAACTTTTCTCGTAGATATGGAGTGTGCAGTATCTTCTTTATCTTTACACAGACTGTGTGAGAATGGACGATTGTAAAGAAAAGAAATATGTAAGAACAAGAGAAATGTTGTGTTCTACGTGCTAACGAGTAAAGTTGCTTATTACAATTTACCAAGAGGTAAATAGTCAACTTTGATGAAATAAATGTTGCAATGACGAAAATAAGCTGGTTGATGGCAACATCGACTTGCCAGAGCAATATTCTACAAGAAGAAAAAAAGATTCCTAAGAAAAATAGAATAGTCACTTCTTTGTGCAGGATACATGGATTAAGGCTGCCAAATTTCCTGATTTAGCCTGAAGACTACTGGTTTTTAGACTTTTGTCCTGGTGGAAAAATCTCCTCAAAACAGAAGCTATTTTTCTAGATTCTCTTCTGGTTTTTAAGGATTTCATTACTCTCAGTTTTTGTGACATGTTGAATCAATAAAATTAAGAAAAACAACTATCACACTTTTTCATAGATACAACAACCGAGACGAAAACACTTTGTTTCTGCTTAAGTTCTATAAAATTAAGACGATCAATTTCATAAGCAAATCCTATGGCAAAGACTTGTATAATTGTGAATAGAAAGAAAGAACCAACTGTATATTTATCGAATACATACGTTGCAAGAAGATGAGAATACTGAAGTCTAAGATTTATTGGAGGAAATTTTTTTGTCATAAATTGTACCACATCAGGGAAAAATACTGATTCTTTTTGACTGGAGAAAATTCAAATCAAAAACTGCTTCATCATCATGCAAGAAAATAACTAAACTTTATTTATGAACATTAAAAAAGAATGGTTATCGAATCCGTTAGCTTGTTCATTTTTGGAAAAATGAATAAATTACGTTTTTTTCTCTTCGTTATGTATCACTTAGAGAATAGTCTTCTCATCATTAACTTAACAGTGGAAACAAACAGATAGTTATTTGAACGAAAACTTCAGTTTTTTTCGAAACAAATCAGTCAAATAGTTTCTTCAGTTCCATAAAGATCTATTGGTTTTCCCTCCTGATTTTTTGGTAAAATCTCCTGGTCAACTACTGTTTTTTTGCATTTGAATTTGGCAGCCCTGGTATGGATACAATGGAATACTTGAGAATTATTTCAATGTACCCTTTGCTGTGAGCCATAGAAAAGTAAATATTGAATGACTAGCATAACTGTTAAATTGATTTCCAGCTTCGATAAATCCATCAATACTTCGAATTAAACACTTGACTAATCAATCTCACTCTGCTCATTAATGTTTTCGATGCCCCTAACGCACCACAGAAGCAGCAAAGAAAAAGTCGCTGATTTTTGAACTTTACTTCCCGAACAAATATTTCCATAGATATTTAGTTGAATATCTCTTTTATTTTTCATGAAAATGTTGTTTTAGCAGACTAGCGTTGCCACCAACTCAAACATTTTCATAATAGCAACATGTATTTGATCAGAGTTGATCATTTACCTCTTGTTAAGTTGTAATAAATATTGTTTCTAGTTAGTGTATGGAGCACGAGATCTGTCTTATACGGACGAAAAAAAAAATTGTTCATTACAATTTACGAAGAGGTAAATGATCAACTCTGATCAAATACATGTTGCGATGACGAAAATGTGTGGCCTGTTGACAACATTAGCCTGCCAGAGCAACATCTTTTATTACAAAGAAAAGAAGAAAAAAAAATGTTTCGCTTTCTTTATGCATTGTTTTGCTTACATGATAGTATTATTGTAAGAAAGGAAGTTGTCGTGAATATTGATGTTGTTGTATTCGAAAAGAATTATACTGCGTCAGATATGAAAAAGAGAGATCGCTCAACATCTCTGATGAGTGACATCGAGTAAGTGTCAAGAGGTTCCTAGTGTTTGTGTATGTTAGGAAATACATGTGTTATCCTCGAAAGTTATTTTCGGCTACTTTCTAAATGAAGAATCATGTTGAGAGAAACTGATTATTAAAAAAAAATCTTTTTTTAGTCTTGACTTCTTTTTTTTGATCATCTGATAGTAACATAATTGTATAGTAAAAAATAAACATCAGAAAACCACGAATATATGACTAAATTTGATGTGAAATATCTGAATATTGATGATGTGAATGGTTTGATTCAATACTAATGGAAAAAATTATATACGATATTGGAAATTTTTCTAGTAGCTATCAACTTTTGAGATTAAAATCAACTTTTAGTAGATATCTGTTTTCATTGGTTTGAAAATCGACGCTTGTTTGACGTAGACTAGATGATTTCCTAATGGATTTATAAATATCACGTGGAATTATTTGAGTATACTTAGACATGTGCGATGAACCATCTCGACATTGTGATCCAGTCGTCTTTCTTTTTTTTGGAAAAAGAAATCAATTTATGAGATTAAACTAATATGAAATTCGCTTCATTTAAAATGTCAAGTAAAGTGTTTCATACTCAATCAGGAAATAGCATCGTATTTGTTGATAGCATACAAATCAAAATCGTTAATGTGACAACATTGACAATGACGTCTAGTATTGGCATCGTGACAAGCGCGCGCGCAAGAGGGAGAGTGAGTGAAGAACACATATATCAAGTGGACTGTTTCTTTATCTGTGTTGATGATTGAGCCGATTGAGACGAGCGTTTGACGACATCAATTGAACAGATTGTCATGATTTACGCATGTTAGCATCGTACAACAGTAAGAAGAAATAAGAAAAGACATAACATTGAAGATGGAAATGCAAAAATAGAAGAGACAAATTCAATCGGCCGTAAATAGTGTCGTATAAGCGAAAGAACATATTTACTTCAATATAAATATAAAATTATAAGATTTGTCCTTGTTCTTCATACACACGCATTTTAATAATAAAAATGGAAACTCCTAAAAGCAGATCATCTGCTGAAACTCAAGAATCGAACTCAATGCGAACATCTACCACTTCAACTAGACGATTATCATTTCAAGGAACGGTATGTGGAAGAATTCATGATAATATTGTATTAATGTAAAACAAATAGTATGAAAATTTTTATTATACATACAATTAAGATTGAACAAACAATTGTGTTTATAAGTTTGTTTTTTTTTAGAAATATTTACTCACATCACATTATACTTATATTCATTTTTATGTTAATATTTTTTAACATTTTATTTAGGTTCGTCGAACACAACGATTGATGCGTGTTCTTAGAACAATGAATACTTTGAATGAAAATAGAAGAGCCACTCATTTTGGATCTAATATTAGTGAAAGTTCACCATATCAAAGACGTGGTGCTATGACATTAGAAAAGGTAGATAGAACAAATTTTTTGTTTTAATTCATTTTAATTAATCCTATATGCTACTATTTACTTATTAATAGAAACTAATCAAAATGATTTAATTGTGTTCAGTTTTGTTTTAACACTTTTTCTGATAATAAGACAGAAATAATAAAATGCGACCTCATTAAAAAAAAAAAAAAAAGTATCTTGTTTCTTTATTATACATGGATGAAAAGAAGATAATAATGAATTGTATATAGCTATATAATTATATATATCGAGATCTATATGTATATTTGTATGTTGATTAAAAATGTAAACATGCTTAATAAATTACATACATATTGAATCATGTAACAAATATAGTAAGAAAAATTATCAGTATTTTGATAGAGAACTTTTTTTTTCTTTTTAATTCTTGAAATTGTTTTAAAAATATCTACAAATAGAATGACATATTGAGAAATAGACAATTTCCGTTTCTATTGAAACTATCAATTTGCCTACCGATCACAAAGTAATTTATAGGCGCTTTGAGCTGTCAAACACGATTGTAGTCTCTCCGGTTTTCTTTTAAAAAAAGAAAAAAAAAAAACTAAGCGAGAAAAGAATCAGCAAGGGAGAAGAAATTAAGAACCTTTAATACGTAGTGTGTTGAAAAGAAAAGTGCTGTTTATTAAATCTTTTGATAGACGAAGAAGAAGAAGAAGAAGAAGACGACAATAAACAACAAAGAATAATGAACAACAGTGTCAATGAGACGACTAACAAGATTTTCTTCATTTGCTTCAGCTGAAACTCGATCACATATACGAATTGATCGAAATGTTTTTCTTGTAATTTATTATTATCTGTTGATTCTATTTAAAATAAATACATAGATTAATGATTATTTTCTTTTATCTAGACAAAATCAGCAGAAAGTAGTGAAACATCTAGTATTACGCCTGTATTAGGCCAACAAGAAAATGCAAATGGAGCAATAGCAAGTTCACGTCGACTTGGTCAACGATTTATTATTCTTCATTATTCACCATTTAAAGCAGTGTATGACTATATCTATATATTTTTATTTAATTATTATTATTATTTTTTATTATATATATATATGTATATATAGATGGGATTGGGTAGTTATACTACTTGTTTTATATACAGGTATTATAACACCTTATACAATATCATTTCTATCTGATGAAGATCAAAAACGAACAAATTTAAATACACATGCAGCAACACGACAATTTAATCGAGAACGAACAAGTATTCATGTTTTAGTTATTATTGATGTACTTGTTGATTTTATGTTTATATTTGATATATTAATTAGTTTTCGGTAATTTTCTTTTTTTTTTTGTTTTGTTTTATTAAGTATTATTCAATTAATATATGATTATGTATTTATTTTAGAACGACATTTGTTTTAAAAGAAACAAATGAAGTAATAACAAATCCTATATTAATTGCTAAACATTTTGTTATTGATTCATGGAGACGTTTTGGAGCTGATATACTCGGTGCATTACCATGGGATATTCTATTTTTTGGCAATGGAAGTCATTCGGTAATTTGATATTTTCTTTCAAAAGCAAAAAAAAACATATAAGCTGGAAATTTATTGTTCTTATATATATAAGTTATATATATATATGTATTTTGTTTTTCTTCTATTTCAAAAAAAAAAAAATAGACGATGCGTCTAGCAAATTGTTTTAAATTAGCTCGACTTTTACGACTTGTTGCATTTGTTCGAAATTTTCAAAAAACTGAATATCGATCAGCAGTTTTATTTCTTCTTATGCTTCTATTTGCTATTGCTGCACATTGGCTTGCTTGTATATTCCATTTTATTGCAATTCTTGAACGACCTAATCTACAAGTCAAATATTCATGGCTTGATCATTTGGCTGATAAATATAAAATGCCTTATCGTATGTTAATTATAATCAAGGTCGTAGTCAAAATGTCGAGATTTTTTTTATATATGAACAAAAACAAGTTTTTGTTTATGATAAATAATTGACTACGTGCCTAGATTTGTCTTTAAAAAATAATTATCATTTTTTATTTTTATTTTTATTTTTTACTTTTCTAGTTGCCAATGATACATTAAGTGGACCAGATACAAAATCAAAATATTTAACAGCACTCTTTTTTGCTATGACTTCATTGACATCAGTTGGTTTTGGTAATGTTGCAGCGGTATAAAATAATATCTATATTTTTCTTTTAATCATTAAATCATATATATATATATATATCTTTTCGAATAGAATACAAATGGTGAAAAATTGTTTTCTATTCTTTCAATGCTAGCTGGATGTATGCATTAATATTAACAAATTTTAATAAAAATTGTCTTTTTATTTTAATATTTTTTTTTTTGCTTTTATAAAGCTTTTTTAAGTGCTTCTATTTTGGGAAGTGTAACAACAATTATTATTAAATTATATCAAGGTGCAGAAGAATTAAAAGAAATGAAACAAAGTGTTAGTGATTTTATAAAACATCATCGTATTAGTAAACAACTTGCTAAACAAATGCAAGAATCATTTGATCATGAATGGAAAAATACAAAAGGAATTGATATGAATAGTATATTAAAAACATTTCCAGAATGTATTCAAGCTGATATATGTCTTCATCTTAATCGAGAATTATTAAATAATTGTCTCGTATTTGAAGATGCAAGTGAAGGTACATATATATATATATATTATTCATAGATTGTTTTTTTTCTTAGTTTCGTATAAAAATTGTGTCTTTTTGTTTCTTTCAAGTTACACTTCGAGCATTAGCTCTTCTTTTCAAATCAACTCATGTTCCACCAGGTGATACACTTATTCATCAAGGTAATATTTTATCTAGATAATAAAAAAAAAATAGTCCAAATAAAATATGAATTATTAATCATTTAGTAAATTATTAAAATTAGTATCTGCTTATATGAAACTTTAAATTTTAGTTTATCTATTTTTCTTTTTTTGTTGAACTTTTAGGTGATGTTCTGTACTCAATATATTTTATACGTGGTGGTCAAATGGAAGTATTAAAAAATAATGAATCACAAGCTATAGTTGGTCGAAATGATACACTTGGAGAAAATCCATGTAATACTATTACACCAGGAAAGTCTCGATGTGTTGTAAGAGGTATGAAAAACTCGTTTTTTTTTTGTTGTCTTTTAAAGAAAATTTCTGCTATTTTTTATAATATTCATTAAAGGTTTAACTTATTGTACATTAAATAAAATTCATCGTGATGATTTATTACATGTTTTTCAACTTTATCCTGATTTTGCACAATCATTTGCAGAACGATTTCGAGTTACATTTGATCTTCGACAAGTAAAACAAAAAATAATTTCTTTTCTTTCAATAATAAACATTTTTTATCATATTTAGTGTGAATTAAATGAATCAAAACCATTTTATAAATTAGATGATGAAATTCAAACACTTATTCGACAGCGTCGTCCAAAATTGCAATCAGATCGACAATTGAGTTTATTAAGTCAACATGAAGAAGGTAAATTAAGAAAAAAAAATTAATTGATACACCATATTTTCTACATATATTTATTTAAAAGCCAATAGACTTGCTGCATTACGTTCATACCGTGGTGTTCGAATGAGTGTGGATTGTGGTAGACGACGACCTATAAGTACTATTGTTGAATTATCTCCTGATCAAGGAAATACGTCTTCTGAAGATTTGCAATTTAGTCAAGAAACACCAAGAATGTCATTAACACCTTTAGCTCAGGGTAAAAATTTATTTGTTTATTTTATGTTTTTTTGATAATGAGACTTGTTTTATATGTTTAGGAACGTTGACAAATGTATTTTCAACAATTGTTGCCATGTCAAAAAGGATAAAAGCTAATGTAGTAACTTTTCAAGAAGAAGAAGAAGAAGAAGAGCAAGAGCAAGAACAAGAAAAAGAAAAATTACCACTAACAACTGAAACAAGTTTTGTAACAGAAAAAACAAAGTATGAAGTTTTGAAAAATATTTCTTTTTTTGTTAAATATAAAGTAATTTTTCCTTATAGATCAATGCAAAAATATGAAACAGGTCCAATACGAAGTATGGCAGATGTTGATGCAGAATTATCTCTTCTTCAAAGGTAAAATACAAATGATGTATTTTGATTAGTTTATAATATTCATTTTATCCTTTTGTTTTTGTCTTTTAGACGTTTTGATTGTCTAGAACGAATAATGGATGATAAAATGAAATTATTACTCGATTTTGCAAATAATGTTTCAGTAACAAATAATAATCATCAACCTAGTAATCTGAATCAAATAAATGATACAATAGATAATAAAAATTTTTTTGTAATTGATAAATTAGTTTTTACAAAATAAAAATAAAAACAAATGTAATTGATAAAATAGTTATGGAATCATTTTATTAAGTGATTTCAAGTATAATTATTCTCTCATCCATCAATGAATTACCCTCATCGAACAGTTCAATATATTAATAGAGAATGCAATAACGAAAAAACATTTAGTCATGTTCGTAAAGAATAAACATTAAAATAGGAAGAAAATGATGTTACATTATAATTTCATTATTTCATCAATTAGAAATCTAATTAAGTCGTCTGTCCATTCACATCGTCAAAGTCGATATGTCTGTTATATATGACAACGATTATTTTGTTTATTTTTAGACTCTTCTAGGTTTTTTTTTTTATTGATACACAAATCGAACCAATAGTTTCTATAATAATAACAGCGACAAATAGATTTCTAAAAGAGAAACTTTTGAAAAATTTCCTGTTTTAAAAATCAGAATATATTACTTGAAATAATTTTCTATTATTTTTATCGTATGCGTCTGGTTGATTTCGAACTATAATTAACGAATATTATCTTATAATTGTAAGATATTCACACAAACAGATGAAAAGCGTTTGAAATGAGAGAAAAAAAAAGATTTGCTGATATATCGACAAATTTTATGATTATTTCAATATGGTTTTCTACGGGATGACATCATGATAATAGAAACTAAAAAGAAATAAGACTTTTTTTAAAAAGATTGAGTATGATTTACTTATTACAACACACATATAATCAATTAAAATATGTAAGTTTTATATTTTATTGGTTTGTAATTACAAACGAAAGTTAGAGTATCAGAATGTGATGAGAGATCATGAATGAAAATTTATACCATACGGCAGAAATATAATGGCAATAGAATTAAGTCCATGCTACTAGAATAAATCATGTTATCAGATTTTCTTCTACCCTATAGACTAATATATACATATGCAAATGTTAACAGTCAATTAAGTATGCAATGAAGCAATAGAAACGAATTATAGTTTCGATGAAGTTGATTCATTATGGAAAGTCTCAAAAACAATATTATCAAGAGTAATTTTAAATGCGATTCTTACATCATTTAACAGCTATAATAGTATCGTCACGAATTTCAATTTAAGAAGCTTCAATCAGATTTCTATTCATCATATTCTCATAAACCATATACTCAGTAAAATGATATGATAATCAGTTGCAAAAATTCAAAATATTCAGATATTATTGTTGCAATATCTATATTTTCTCAATAAAGTGATTTATCACAACTTCTTAGCATATCATTAAGCTAGAAAAAGTGGATTTCTTTCTTTCATTATCTATCATTATAGATACACGATGTAGAATTTGTGCATTTACTTCATAATACTATGATTTTGATTAACTGTTTCAATTCATACTTTTATACATTTACGAATCGTATTACTTACAACGTTTGTATTGTATGATTGGAACCTACAATTTTCTTCTAGTCATAGTCGTTCGATTCTTGTTTTGAAATCATCTACATCTTTTTTTTTTAATATTTGATCTCGTTATAATTTTTTTTTCTAAAACTGAGAAGAATCATTAGTGATGTACCAGGGAACAATCGTCTGTATCATACCGCTGAACAAATAACTACGAGACAGATTATCATTATCATTTGTGACCTTAATCAATTTGGAATCTCAATTATCTGTTTGCTCGAAATATCTACGAATCACAACCTAACTTCTATTGGTAATTACAATACTTTTAATGAGGTGCACAATAAGTTCTTTATTTTTGTGCCTTATTATCATTAACACCTATTTCTTTACTTTGGATATTACCTAATTGAGATCTCGAAGATTAGCACTGTGTCAATGACCTTACAAAAAAGTGTTCGATATCTTCTTTTCGATGTTATTACATGCATACTTTCTGTTTCATTAGATTTATCACAGTTTTCCACATCATTCTGTTCTTCAACTAAAGTATTCTCTATGTAGATTGGTATCAGAATAAGACTGTTCCGACTAATTCTATTTCGTTTGTTATTACAAAAATGTTGCTCTGGTAGACTAGTGTTGCCACCAACCATCACATTTTCGTCATCGCAACATATATTTCGATCAGAGTTGATCATTTACCTCTTGGTAAATTGTAATAAGCAATTTTTTTTCGTCCGTATGTAGAGCACCACATCTGCCTTGTCTTTACACATACTGTAGAAATATACGTGCATGGATAACTCGTATGTGTGTGGAAACAAGACAGATCTCGTGCTTTACACACTAATCAGAAATATTGCATATTACAACTTACCAAGAGGTAAATGATCAATTGTGATCAAATACATGTTGCGATGACGAAATCGTGCAGATTAGTGGATAACATTGATCTGCCAGAGTAACATTCTCATTAGAAAAATAATATATCATGAATATTGTGTTTTGCATGAAATACTAATGTTTTAGTTCTATCCTTGAGTGTGATTACTTATATCTCTCTATGGCAATTTTTTTCATAAGAATCATTTTCTTTGCAAACAATGAAGAAAAAATTCTTATTCTCAATGATAAAATTGGTGATAAAGTTTTCAGCGAGTTTTCGACAAAACATGAATGTAAGTCGGAATGCATATTTTTCTGATGAAAAGTTTTGTAAACTCATAAACCATCAAGGGATATATGACATTGGGATTAAGGTTTCAAATAGTTATGAAAAAATGTTTTTAAGTGTCAGGGTTGGCAATTCTGCAAATTTTTTTACAGCATAGGACTAAGGTGTAATGGATAGATGCGGAGATTAACATAAAGAGATAAGTTGTTACGGATAGCAATAGGGGTTTTGACTTATTAATCAGAGGTGAAGGATATAACCTGTTCAGATCAGAGATGTCCATCGCGGTTCGAAATCTGCCGCTGTCGCGCCGCGACTAATTTCCAAAAAGGGTGCCGCTGCCGCGATGGTACTCGAAAAAAAGTTTCGAATTTCATTGCTGTGAATGTATTGAAATACAATTCTTGTCACTAATCGATGAGATTCATTGAATCTTAGAATGTTACGTCTGTGGACACTCAATTTTTGTGCAAATTCGTGCAGTTTTTGGAATGTCTTCCAGAAACAAGGAGCCACCGCCGCGCCACTACCGTATTGCTAAAAAATCTCCCGCGCCGCGATGCTTTTTCAAAAAACCTTGCCGCTGCCGCGCCGCTAACCGCTACCGCGGCAGCCCCGCGATGGACATCTCTGGTTCAGATATAGAGATAAGGTTATAAGGACAGATATAAAGGTTAAGATTTAGGAATGAGTCGTTTCGGATCGATTAATGGTTAGATTGAGCAGCAAGCAGGTCAATAATAGATATAAGGATTTTGATTTAGGAATAATCCATGTAGAAAATAAAAATAAAAATCAATATATCCATGATTTTAATTAATTGCAGGCGTATTCAGCAGTTGAAAATTAAGCATTTGCGATTTTTTATGATTTAATGCAAGGTTATGATCGATTTTTCCGCATAATTGATTAGGAATCATTGGTTTTTAACCGATTATGATGGTTTTCTTCACTCTAATTGATTAAAATTGATTTATAGTTAACATAGTCGATTATTTTTTATTTTTTATTAATCAATGAAAATCAATTTTTAGTAGTAATCAATTTTCATCAGTAGTTGATGATTTTTTTTGATTAAAACCAAATCATGCTGATTACACTCCACCGAAATTGGGTAGTTTTCCGAATCGATTATAGTTCTTAGTAGGAGTGGATCATCTAACTTAACTTATAATTTAGTTTAGTTTTATCAGTTAGGAATTAATATTAAGTTCAACTTTTTTGTATTAAACACTCAAATCACTTAAGGTTATGTTTGAGTGATTGATTTACGTAAATATCATTCAATATGGAGTTTCTCATTACTCCTTAAGGAACATACCATGCTATTATTCAACCATACAAAAGTGGTCCCCTGACATCCTCTGAACGATGCCGAAAAGCAATAGGTTCTATTCTTACAACAGAGAAAAAAACCTCTACTGGAATCTGGTTGATTGATACCTCTTTTATATAGCCTGAACATTAACGTAGTGCGCCCCTTGAGAGGTATTGGGAAACTTGAAATTAAATACTATTTGCTTAAAGCAATCACTTAAACGTAATATTAAGTATTAAGTTTATTATTAACACTTAATTTTTAAAATTAAGTTTTAAGTAGGAAAATTCCAGCCTAATATTAAGTGTGAAGTAATAAAATTTAACTTAATTTCAAGTTAAGTTAATGGTCCATCCCTATTCTTGAAGATATAGGTCTGAGGAGGAAATATTTCTAGGTGCTAACAAGCTTTTGAGATAAAAATTTGCCCATCAAGAGGGCGCATATACACCATAAAAGATCTGAAAGAATATGGGTACAAGTTACAATTTGGCTGAAATACCGACATTGTTGTATATTTTTTTCATCAGAACCCGACTCTTCCGATAAAATCCAAGTTTCCGATTTAAACCAGGAACTTTCTCCACATCTAGGTCTCAATCAGACTAGTTTATCTACAAAATTTTACACCTCTGGAAAACTTATCTCCCAGATATTAGATGGTTATCATAGAGGCGCTTTTTATGGATCAGAGACCAGCGGGACGATCAAAAACTGTCCCGGCAAGGCCCGTCGGGAGGGGTTCAAAGACTGTGTCCCGTCTCGCCTAGATATTTTCACTCCCGTCCCGTCCCACATCCCGCTAAAATTTTTTCAATCCCGGTCCGGCTAATCCCGCGAGCATGTTTTCACCAAATGTAAATAGCATATATATATATATTCATTTATTACACAGCCAAAAAGTATCACAAGCAAAAAATGTCTACACGAAAAAGTGAAGTACGATAAATATACACAAATGTATTCACAAAAAGTTGGGATATAAGAACAAAAACCATAACGTTCACGAATAATTGCGCATTTAGATTGATTTCAACGATCGAAGAAAAAGAATGTTATCAAGTTGATCTGGCTTGAGATTTGTTGGACGTTCATTGATAATATATCCACCGTGACTGAAAGTTCGCTC